GAGATCACACACAACAATGTGTTGAGGCCCCTGAGGTCACCCAGCTCAATGAAGCTGAGGTCGCCCAGCTCAATGAAACTGATCCCTCCGATTCAAGCCAACGGCATTCTCAGGTTGACGAAAGGAGCACACATGCGGACACGATTGCAGATGAAGTTCCAGCGGTGCCACTCGAGGCACACCAGGTAGACAGCGAAGAAACTGGCGTGGGACCTTGGTCGAACAGTCCGAGGAGGTTCCTGCGACATTTCATGCAACGTGCTCGTGATGACCTGCAGATAATAGCTGGGTTGAGTCAGCTGAGAGAGGAGATGCGGACTACTCTACGGTCGGACAAAACACCGTCTGTGGCTCGGTCGTGGCAGGTGCGTGTGTATATAGAGATTTGCAAGGAATTAAGGATGACCCAGGAGCGCGCTGCAGCTCTGGAGAATTCCTAATGGCTGGCCATTTCAACGCTGGCTTCTGAACTTGATGGTGTGAGTGTGTGTGGGGCGTCTTGTCCAGCAATAAAGCTGCTGGGCTTCAGCGGCGGCCGACTCCAGGCGAAGTACGAAGCCTGTTGCAAAAGGGTTTAGGAATGACTGAAAGCCAGGTGTCTGCACCGACTGCACATGTATGTCAAGCCTACACATACTGTCTGTATACAAGAAGGTTTGACCAGACAGACCCCATACATACATGCATGCTTACATACGTACATACATACACAGATAGAGGTACATTACATATACAGATGTACAAACAGTCACAAACATTCAGAGGCATACTTATAGATACTATATGTGTACCTACACACACACACATATATATATATATAGATACACATGTATACATACATACATCCATCCTTCCATCTATCCATGCATGCATGCATACATACTGACATGCATACATACATACGTACACACACACATGCATATGTACATATGTACATATGTACATGCATACATATATACATATATGCATACATGCATAACATACATGACATACATGACATATGTAACTGCACATGCAGGCACACACACACACTCATACGTACATACATACATACATACATACATACATACATGCATGCATGCATACATGCATACATGCATACATGCATACATGCATACATACGTACACACACGCACGTGCACATGTACATATGTGTGTTTGCATTGCTGCATGCATGCATGCATGCTCGTAAGCATTTATAGATTACGTCATGCGCTGCAGTACCTGAAATTAGATTATCAGTACATACATGCGCTGAGCTTCCAATCATACTTGTTGAGAGGACCATGTAAAATGAGCATGTTTCGTTTGAAGTTCTAGTTACAGAAAGCCTAAATATGCATTTCATTGTCGTGTTGTTGAGCCTTTCGAGCCATGTAGAACGTACATCTGACGTATATGCTTAGGGCTTCAGCTTTAGATTTCAACATACATACACACATGCATACATACATGGCCATTTACCTACTTGCCTACTTAGTTGCCTACTTGCATACTGGTATTTGCATACATGCATACATGCGGCATGTACATACATACATACATACGTACATACATACATTCATACATTCATACATTTACACCTACATACCTACATACGACAGACATACATACATGCATACGTGCATGCATGCACACATGCGCACATGTGCACTTATCAACATACGCGCACACGCATGCATACCACATAGCCGCTTACTTACCCATGTAATTGCGGACTTTCCTATTCGTACTTGCACACACGCATACATGCATGCATGCATACATAGATAGATACATGATGATCTCCAGCGCAGGCCTCCAATGCCTCCCTTGCCCCGCCCACGAGGATGCAGTGTCGAAGCTGCTTCTGGGATGACCCACAGCAATAACGGCCTAGCACGTGGAACAGTCTGTCGTGGTGTTTGTCGCTGGAAGCCACCACCCCAGCGCTCCAAGTTACAAACAGAACCTACTTTGGGGTCTAAAGTCTGTAAATAGTACCTATTTTGGGCTTTTTGGAGCCCCAGGGCCAGCATCATAAACCCGAGCCAGACCAATAAAGTTAGTGAAACCGCTTGGCTGCCAGGGCACCGACGAAGACCACGGTGCTGCTCGGACCGCATGACTGTAGGGGATTCGGAGCGTTTGTCAAAAGACGTACTTCACGTAAGAGTTTGCCAGGCGGAAGTGGGCTGGCTCAATGGGATATGCACAGTCCCTATACGCTTAAACCCTAAACCCTAAACCGCCTATTTTCGTAAGGAAGCAGCGAAGAATCTCACGCATGTCAAGGAGTCCAAGCTCGGTTCTCCAGGTTCGTGGAAGCTTAGCATGTTGGCTTGCTAGTGGGCACCAGGCATTGCAGTCTCACACATCATGCCAACTTCATATTCCCTAAACCCTAAAACCCAACCATGTTCAACCACTGGTTGCTTGCATCTCCCAGACTCAGGGCAGCAAGACATGCCGTCCTTTGTCGTAGTCGCGTCGCTCAGAAACCCCTCACTACTTGCATTGCACTTCTTGACCGCATGCTTGTCATAGCTCTTAGCTTGTGTCACAGAACACGATGTAAAGCAGCTTCCTGTGCTAGGTCAGCTACAATGATACCGTCGAGGCCCAGCCACCCGATGTTCTGGCAGGACGGGACTGCCCAAACCGAATTTCAACCCTAGCGTTCCACAGAACATCTAAGTTCCCGACGTCAGGCTCGCATCTGCAGGAGCTGTGATGAGGCTTCTCAAGACGAGACGGGGTTTGAGTACGAATTCGTTAACAGTCAGCCCCCCAAGCGAAGCGAAGGGGAAGGGTGTCCCAGTATTTAGGCCTGTCTTGCTGCTTCGCACCATGTGCATGTTCAGAATTCAAGCGCCCCCAATACATGGGCAGCCAACAAGACACGCCGATTCAGATTAAGAAATTGCGCGAGCTTCCAGCAGGAGTCGACTACCTGACACAGGGAGACAGGTGCCTGCGACGGAAGTATAGCTTGCATTATCGGTCCGTTGTTTGTACCTTCATGCGTTGCGTTCCCTGTTTCTTTGGGGCGGATGCTCTGTAAGATTCACAATCCAAAAGAGTCTTATTGTATTGACTCTGATTGTGATTGCCTTCGGGCCATGAAAACACAATACCATTGTGATCATGATGCAAGAGCCTACGGTATGAGTGCCGATGAGGTTCTATCGGCAGATCGTGCTGATTCTGTAGACAGTCAGACAATTAGAATTTCATTGCTTCCTTTGCCGGTTCAATGGAGCCTGCCACAGCAAAGGCAGCTCTACAACGCTTCGGTAGAGCGCTTCATCCGAGATGTCAAGGACCTGAGGGTTGTCAGGCTATGTTGTGCTCTTCAAAGAAGCAGACTCGAGGTCGCCATTTATTTAGCCTTTTGCGATGCCTTCATGGCTGTGATCTGATCACCGCCGAAAGACTCAGGAAGTCGAGACCACCTTCGGCGTGAAGGCAGCTGGCATGGATGCAGAGTACTTGGCATGAAGAGTACGGCAAGTCGTAACAAGCAGAAACACAAGGTCCTCGTCACAGTACTAACCACATCGGCAACACTAGGAATCATCTTTTTCCAGCTGCATATCTTCAGGGGGTTGTCAACCAGTGCTGGTGACTGCTAGTGCTTTCCTGTCATCGGACATGAGCGAGCATCATACCGAGCATCCGCGTAACGCAAGACCTTCCTGACCAACTTTGCAACGCATGGTTCTTTGGCTCGTTCTCAATTCACGCACTTGGTCGTCGCTGCTACTTCCCGTTGGCAGGTGCTGTGCAGTGACCAGGAGACAGCCCTCCGGGCAGGGACGGTAGTCTGAGGACGAACTTCGGCCTTGCCGTGGTGATGGGGTGCCCTCCCCTGCGTTTGAGTCAATGCTGGCTGCTGTACCGTGGCCACATTGAAGAGTTTCGCATGGAGACCGCCTGCAGCAAAAAGAAATGCGGCCCTGTCCAGCCTCAGGTCGATGCCACAGAAACAGCAGACCCCATCAGGAGTTCACAGGCAGGCTTTTCCTGATACTTCACTACAAGCTTGTGGGTGAGTTTGGATCCTAGCAGCAGCTGCTTCGTCACCTTAATAATAAAGTTGGGGGGTACATGGCAAGCCCAAACCATCGCCCCTGCGAAAACGTGGTTGACTGAGGTGAAAGTACCTTAGCGAAAGTTATCCGAGGTCGTCTTTGTTGGAGCCTGACATAGGTCAAGGGGTTAACAGGCTGAAGGATGGCCCCGACTGCGGAGGATTTTGAAATTCAACCTCCAACAAGAAAATCTCATACTCCTTCATAGGGAACCCTGAACCCGGAATAATGCCCCGGAGGGCCCCAAATCGTGAAACCTTCTACGAAAAGTTCTGAGGCCTTATGAAAGGGAAGTCGAAAGCTGTGATCCAATGTGGGGCTGTGCTTTCAAGGCGATGCGGAACAGCTTGTCCTTCGCCGAGTCCAAGGAGCCGCCCTATTCCGAGCTCTGGGGCTACTGCTGACTAAGATTGTTCTGAGACTAGGTTTAGTACGAGCAACAATATCAGCTACCCACTCCCTTTCACCAGAGTTGTACATCCCGAGGAGAGCAGCACAACGGCAGGGCCGGCGCTGTGGCTTCCAACAAAGGAGGCACCGCACTGAGCCGCAGTGCACTTGAGCCTTTGGAGTTGAGGGTCCTTGATCCTTCACCAGGGCACCATCCGGAGATTGCAACTAGTTGTTCTTTAGTTTGCTTGCTGAGCTTACTCTGAGTTTGCTACACTACCACGACAGGCCGTTCCGGAGTTTCACTGGAAATTCTGCTTTGGCCAGTCAGTTTAGTGTTGCTAGCTTTAATCATGGAGCTTTCGTTCTCACACCTTGAAATAAAAAAATACCACCCGCAGCAGCACGCGCAAAGCTTCCATACCGCGTGCGCTGAGTGGAGAGCTTGACACGCGGTCTTGGCGTGGACGCCTTTTTCACTAAGTCGAGGCTGTCGAAAGAAAGGCAAACTGTGTAGAAGGGCCTCTTTGCAGAGACTGCCCCAGGCTACGCACGAGGCCTTCAATCGCCTGGCAGACAAGGTGCCGGGTGAGTTTGATGACGGAAGGCAAGCGAGCGCACAACAGCCATCAAGCGGCCGGTCTCACATGTACTCGCTCTTGCCACGCTTTGTGGATGACTGCAACAGCAGGTAACTCCTCAACCCTTTCACAAGCGAACCTACCCTGCCTGGGATTGCCGAGGCCGGTATTGATGAACCCTACCAAGACAATTCCTGCGTCCCTTGGGAGTCTTCGATGCATGACCAAGCCGCCCAAGCCCCAACACCCCAAAACAGCATCAGCTGGAACTTCCGCGTTCTGAATTTGCGAAATCCGGTTGTAGTTTGAGACTCGCGAACCGTTTATCACACTACCATACCTGCATGCTTCACCCCTCCACCCAGCCAGATCCACTCCGAAGATATATGTCTCCGGAGCTGCAATACGATAATCTAGCCCCAAAACTCTGAAGCTCGGAAGGTGGATGGCAATCCCATCCAGAAGGCACGCCGGCTTATGACAGACATGGCGAGCTCTGAATCGAACGATTTAGCGGGCAGAAGGACTGTTTGTGAGCAACCGTGGCCTGTCTGCTGTTGCTAGCATCGAGCCCTCCGACTTTGGTCTAGGCGTCTCAGAATGTTCAGTCTGGCGAGCCTCCGAAGCGCAGCGTGGAGGGGCCGCCAGGAAGCTAGACGTCAAGGTCTATATCGTATGATGATATGTTGGACCTGGGTGTAGGCTTGACAGACCACGTCCCAATCTAGCGACTTCAGGGAACCAGAAAAGCGCGAGACCCTGTATTGAAGCTTCGAATATATTTTTCGGTGGAGGAGCAAATCATACCTTGAGGCGTCTCGGGGTCTCACCCGAGCCGGTCTGTACGAAGGCGAACCGCTCAGGCAACTGATATACCCACTTCTTCGCCGACTATAGATGTAGACAGGCCTTTAGAGCTACACGACTCGCAGAGGCCTTCCGCAAGGCCTTGAGGAACAGTGGCAGGGACCTTGGTGGCTGTGGGTTTGGAGCATGGACGGTTTTGAGGCGTTTGGGTATACTCGGGTATCGGTATGAGACCTCTGGACCGCACCAATGGGTTGAACATGCACAAGTTTTGAAGTTCAACTAGTCAGGGTATCAATTCAGTCCGTCGACGAGAAGGCTATCCTTATCGGGAGCGTTTTCGTTCCAGATATTATCTGGGCCAGAGGTCGAAAGCGATAGGCCTGTTACCCGACAGGCTGGAATCAAAGCATCACACGACGATTCGTGCCTTTGCCTGCTGCAGCCGCTACAGTCGCTACAGAGCATGCTGTGTCAAGACAGTGTTTCGCTCAAGGCATATCATATGTACATAGAGGTCTCAAGATTTAGCAATGACATCCGCTTAGCGTACTTACTGTGCATCATTCTATACCAAGGCCCCCCACTCGAAGTTTTCAAGGCCCCCATATAAGAGCCTCCGCAGCTTTACGTCGGAGACATCTTGCAAGATCAAGCACCCTGTCAGAATTGCAAAGCCCGATATGCTAACACATGCACGAGAACCGAATATGAATAGACGGCTTAGATGTTTAGTAGCTAGTCGAAGCCAGTTGCATCAAGCATGGTGCAACAAGTTGAATGACGCATTATTTCATGGTTACATGACAGCGATTGGAACACGCTTCAGTTAGAGTATTTTAATCTAGTCCTGTTGAAGTATAACAGACAAATCCAGCAGAGCACCTTAGATCAATTCGCTCTACACAGCACTCAGTTTAAAAACACGGTTGACATTCACATAGACTGTGTGTATACATATATATATATATATATATATATATACAGACAGCCTATACAGGCATTTGCACGCACGCATATCTGTGCATACCTGCGCATACGTTTTTTGGTATGTCAGCACTTATGTGGGAGTTTCAGAAAGTTTGGGGTACCTTATTTTGGGGTCTTTATAATAGGATCCTATTATTTAGATACTATATTAGGGCCCCCTATTTTCGGAAACCCCCATGTAGTCTCATCCTGAGCCGTGGCTCCTGGGCCTCGGAGGCCTGGATCTGGAACCCATGGCGGCAGCGAACACACGTTTCCCGGGCCTTCTGAGGCCAGGGCAGATGATGAAGGGTATGGAGAACTAGGTTTAGGGTTTAGGGTTTAGGGGTTCGGGGTTTAGGGTTTAGAAGTACGGGTGCAGCCTGGAATGAGTCAGCTGTCCTGGCGTGACGTTGCAAGCCAGTTGCAAAAGGGTTTAGAAGGCTTGGAGGAGGTTTCCGTGTTGAACTGAAGGATTCTTGAAGGACTGACGGAATCCGGGAATCAGGATCAGAAATGTGGAATTGGTTGTCCTGTGACCTTGCAAAACAAGATTGCGCCTGGTGCCACCCGGCCCCGTACTTTTCCATTTCATGTGGCTTTGCTTTTTATGCCTCTTTGCCCTGTTTCAAGCTCCGGGCGGCTACAACCCCGTCAGCTCTGAGAGGTTGATCATCCGAATTTGCAAGCTCTTGCCGCCACGAAGTTTTCGTGGTCCCAACTCCGCATTCCCAAGCAGCATCACGATGGATCTTTCTGTCAAAGCTTCCAACAGAGCAGGGCTCAACAAGGCTCCCGGACTCGGTGTTTCACTATGACACCTCATCAGTGCCCAGGTCGCTTTCAAACTTTGCAGTGGAAAAATAGGACAACAGGATCCAGAAAAGCGAAAGCCTGAACAGAGAGTGCCAGGTTCGTTCGCAGTCGGCCATTCGTGGGCACCGTCATGGTGCCACCGGCATATGTCATGTGGGGTTATGAGTTTACGCCCCTTGAACCTTTCCCCCGCTTGAGGACATTCTCTGTGCAAAGTCTATGGGTCTGGATTGCTTATTCTGGGATCCAGGTTGACGGGCTCCTGGGTTCCTCAGTCTTGACTTTATGATCTAACCTAGGGCCCTAGCACTCTACGGGTGACGTTTGAGTCTTCTGTGTAAGGCTTAGGAACCTCGGATCCACTTCCGCGGTCTCGTGGTCTGCAGTCTGCAGCTTCGCGTCATCGGCATGACTTTCGACAACTTTGACAATGAGGAATTTCACAGAGCACTGCTCCCCCCGGTAAGAGAGTAGTTTGCATGTTCGTCGCAGCACAGTCTACAATACAAAATGGCACCTTTCCGCTTCAAAGGCGCGCGGATAACTCCTAGTGCATCTAGGAGTTCCGACTCAGTGCGTCGGCAAGGTGATCACAGAAGCAGAAAGGCAGCTTCACTGAAAAAACTGTGGTTTGCCGCAGTCATTCTCTCAGAGGGTTCCCCTTCATTCTGCTGAGGACCTATTGTTGGACCTGAAGAGGGACCACAGTTGTCTGCAGCCTCTGCCGCGCAGTCCCGAAATCGGGACAAGACAAGGAAGGGCCAAAAAATCTGCCAAACAGCAACAAGCCAAGTCAATCGCGTGCCGCCGTCTGATGCCCTCCTGGGGACCTAGAAGCTTGCCTTCTTGCGGATGTAGGGATGCCTCTAACCAAGGCTGTATATAGTGATTGAAACCTGCGTAGGCCTCATCTTAACAGGGTGTTTGTTCGGCGTGGACTTGTCGAGTCGAGGACGATCGACACATTCAACAGGCATGCGCGTACTACAGGGCGATTACGAAAGATCGCGGACTAGGTGCCGTCGCACTGTCAAGCCATTTTAGTCAGTTGTAATTTTCGTGGTGTGCAGCGGGGCGCGTTGGCCATCTTGCGTTTGAACAGGCTTTCCGCGAGGTAGTGACGGGACACCAAGTCCGGAAGCCACAGGAAGGGAGAGAGAGAGAGAGAGAGAGACTGGCTCGGTTTTGAAGCTAATAAAGCTACTGTAATAGTAGAAAATACGAAACAGATATATATATATATATAATATTGTAACAAGAATAATAAGATTTGTGATGATAACAATAATGACAGTACTAACAACAATAGTTAGTTTTATTGTCACTCGCTTTCATGACTTTGTTTGTTTGTGGGCCGGGCAATGTGATCAACACCAAGACTCAGGGAGGCCTTCGATTCATCATTGGTTCAGGGTTTGGGGTTTAGGGTTGTTGCCAGGTCTTCGACTTCCGCATAGTACACCAGAAACAGAAGTTCAAGTGTCCCCGTTATGATGAGCTGGATGGTGGACGCAATTACATATACAGCGTTGGCCCGTCGGTAGTGCTTGGGGCGACCCGATGGGCTCCAAAATCTATCATGCCATCTGACCGGGTCGAGTGTGAGTGCCAAAAATCGGGGACCGCTGCGGATATGATGACGCACTTAAGTCATGGCAGCACTAGCACGCAGAATAAGACATGCTCACACACGCACGCTTCACGAAGACCATCAAATAGCAAAATCAACACCAGCAGAATAACAGAAATGACGGGAAGTCTTCCAAGCACGAAGCTGCGATAGAAAGCCTTTTGGCGCAACGTGTTCGTATAGCTTGCGAAGGCCTCACATCCCTGGAGGAACACTTGTGGATTCATCTAACAACATCCGGCTACCGGCATCGGAATGTGAGGTGCTACATCTGGATTGGGTGATAATTTTTGCAAAGCCAAGCTAACATTCAAAACGTTGGCGTTTTGCCCCGAGCGTGTGTTCGCACTCGTTCTTCTGCATGAAACACTCTTTCATCAAGCCAACGCATACGTGTTGAATGCACACACAGACATGCAGACATGGATGTGTACCTGCATGATCCTGCATGCCGCCTTCTAACAATTACGAGCACAAACTTAACATAATAGCATGCTGGTCTGCTTTTGCATAATATGTTTCTGTAGTTCCTTACTCAACGAGCTGCTTGTCTGCTTGGCTTGTTTATATTCTAGCTTCCTGTGACTGCGGCGCCCTCTAAGCTCCTGACAGTGCCAGGCATTGATCGCCCTGAATGCCATCTTCATTTGCATCACAGCAGACCAAAACGTGCGAAGGGCAGCCCTTGCCCCGGTGTCGCCCGTTTTCTCGGGGATTATATACGCAGGCTTTGGGGATTTTGTTGTAGATTGGCGTGAACAGAAACACTGCGACAGCAAACCCACCGAACTTGTTCAGCTTGTGCAAGAATCTTCGCATCAGCCTTGGCCGTTAGAGGGTTGGTTGCATGGGTCACACCTCTCCTTGGCAAAGTCGCAGTATAGATGGGTCATGTGATCGATACGCTACTTGCTGCGGGGCTTCTAGAGGGCTTGTCTTGGGCCCAGCACTTGGAAGGAACGAGGTCCGAAGCCCGTTGTCATTTCCTCGCCAGTGCCATGGGTGAAAGCAGAAAATCCGAAGATGTGGGTTTGGTGTGTCGTAGGTGGTTGGCCACTCATGGGACAGCAGTCTGCTGTGCTCGATGGTTGATGGTTCTCTTTCTGATTTTCGATTCTTTTGGGAGCTTCAAACTGTGAAGCCTAACCTGGACCACTGAACCGTGGTTTCTGATTTCGCCGACAGCTCTACTGGAATCGTTCACCTGACTCCAGCTTTTTCTGAGACAGACTTGTCCCCGAGGAAGAGTCATGAGTTACGCTACACGTCGGACCCCCGCAGCTCGCACAGCTTCTACAGGCAGCCTTCTACGACGCGCGGTCGGCAGGTGCCGGCTGGCTCTTCTGGGGATGAATAAACCCTTCAAACATGAAGCAAACGGGAGGCTGAGTGCACAAGGCCGAAGCTGCAACAAAGGAGTGTGTGATTACTTCTGCTACCTCTGAGAAAAGACCTCCTCAGAAGGAAGGCCTACGGTAAGCCAAGTCATTCCCAAAAGATGACTGCCGCAGGGCTGCAGAGTATGCACAGGCCGCGACTCGGGATCAACTGCGCCACCACTTTGGTAGCTTCCTCAGGAGCGGACGGCGCGCATGTCCGTGCTTCAGTAAAGCTTACATGGATTATCGGTTTAATCTGCTGTAGCGCTTTGTTCGTGGCGTGCCGACGGGCTAGATGCATCGAGGCAGACAATGCTAGATCAGATAGGTCCTTATCCAGCCAAGGCAAGAAGTCATGGACATAGGCTTCACCAGCCTCTTCACGCTGGAGCTCTTGCTGCGAATCCTTGCAGAGGCGAGCGGCTGCACTGATCGGAGCCTTTCGCTTCACGCCTCCACAACTCTGTTGCCAGATGGGTTCTACAGGGCCTGTCATTCTTGAATAGAAGCCGGACCCAAAAGCAAGACAGAAAATGACAATCTTGTTGAAATCTGACGAGGAGTGGTACTTCTGGGTCGGCCTGGAGTGGCGCTGGCCGCTTGCTCAGATGTGCGTCAGTCTCGCCTTGTATCTCAGTGATGAGCGAGCTTCGAGAGGAGACGTTGAGTTTTCTGCCCGGCTGCCGCGAACCCTCTGACCCAAAAAACACACCAAGTTCTAAGGTCGAAGCGATTATGGGTTTCTTAGGAGTGTAGGGGTTCAGAGTTAGCCACATACCAGTCGGGCCAAGAGGATGAGGAGCCTGATGGTGTCGGTTGTAGCGATGAAATGGCTTGGTGATTCCGTAACACAACATACCCGAAACCCTAGACCCTAGCCGGATTCTGCAAGCCCGCGCAAGAACGCCTTCCAGAGGAATCTGTTTGACACCATCCTCGCGCAGACCTTGGATCACGAGATCTCAGGGGCTTGCAATCGCAAAAATGATAAGGCGCTTACAGTGCTCAGGGGTTTCAGGGTTTTGGGATGTTTAGAGTGTAGGCAGTTTTTTTTATGTCGGGTTTGGCTTGAGGGTTTTAACTGCGCCCGCATGTACTATGGTGGGGCAATGTGGGTTTTGGTTTCAAGTTCCTCAGCACAGCTCGAAGCCTGAAGCAAGACGGAGTTGCAAAGCCTAGCAGACTGAAGCCAGCAAACAGCTCGTGCAGCGCAGAGAGTGCCGCCGTCAGACCTATCTGTGCACAATGCCGCAAGGGTGTTACTTTCAAGGTCCTCTCCATGCTCACCGACACGGTGCTGGTGCTGATTGGACTTGACATGAGCAAAGGCCTCAGGCCTTGGAAATGGCCAAGGGCATTAGCCGCATGAGCCAGAGGCCCGACCGCTGCGGTATGTACCTGCATACACAAAAGTTGTAGCTGCACAGTGAAAACAGACACAAGACGGTACTTGTGATGATGGCCTGGGCGCTCGATCCAGCCCGTGATGCTGGTCCTGAGGCTACATCCGGCTTCTTCGGCTCCTTCGTGCATTGAGGCTGCCTCGGCTAAATGGGGGGCTTGCGCAGGTTTTTGGGATGAATCTTCTATGCGGAGTAGGACCTTACGACAAGTTTTCTGTTGACCTGGCAGGGTTTCATTTTTTGGGAGCTCTCCCTTATGGTTGGATCTCAGATGTCCTCCCGAGTTCTGTGAAGTCACAAGATAGCGCTTGCTTCCCAGGAGCTTCCGCATCATCCGTGTGCTCCGCTTCTTCCGTGAGCTGCGTGTCATGCTTTTGCCGGCAGCCTAGCCACCCGTTCTCACAGTTCGTTCAAGTGCCGAGGATTCCGCAGGTTTCCTCCAAAAATATGATGACCTTCATTCCGAGTCGGTCTTCTTGCTTGCAAGACCTCGATTCCAGGGAGAATGTTTTGCTTGATGCACGTTGGGCATGCTTCTCTGTGATGAGGCGCAGCAAGTTGGCAAGTAGGAGTGGTTACCCAAGAGGGGTGATGGCGATGTTGGTAGTCTTGCCTGCAGTCTTTCTCCATTCTCTCATTCCAAAGCCCGGCTTGAACCACTCTGCCACCTTCGCTGTTGTGGTATAGTCATGAGTGGCACTGGTACGACATGCCCGACTGCGACAAGAACGCTGCACAGATCGCCCGATCCACAAACTGCCCTATCTTGCTGCAGAAGTCGATGAAATACGAGGGTTACATACGAGCATACTCCGAAGCAGAAGCAGATGTGGCCTGGAATTGACCCAGACTCGGCCGACTCTTAAAGCTAAGCTGAAGTAGGCCGTGGCTCTACAGGTCGATCATGAACTCGATCGCCCCGCTACTATGGGCGATCGTGTTCCTTGCGCTGACCATCGGTGTTTTCAGCATCGTCTTTTTGCAAGGCCCGCTCTTCGATTCGGGTGTGCACAGGAGTTTGCCGATGTTTGGTTACGTCGGCCGGCTGAGAAAGTCGAACCTCTAAGTCAGCCTTGGGACGACAGATGCTGTTCCTGCATGCTTAGTCTGGACACTATCCCCGCGAGAAGCCGGAATTGCTACTTTCCTATTTTGGACTGCCTTGAAATGAAGGGCCTCAGGCTTCTGTATCTCTTTGCTGTAGCTCAGTAGCCCTTCGTGCGAGCATCTCGGCAACCCCAAGTCCTGACGTGTCCGTCGATGTCCGCTGCAGGGGTGACCAGCTTCATCCACGACGCCCTCTCCTCGAACGTGAGCATTGAGGGTGTTCGCACGTGGCTTGGCCCCCGTTTGTGAGGTACTTCCTTGGCTTTTCTTCAATCAGGGGGAACACATGAAAGCGCTCAAGTCGAAATTCAATCGTGAGGGCACCGCGTGCGTTTCTGTGGGTTTTTGTTTTTTCGCAGATTCAGAGTCCTGCACATTTCGGATTTGGCACGAGGAGAGCTTCAGAAGCCCATGGTGGGCTTTTTGCTGCTCGTAGCGAGGGATCTCGGAGTGCAGGCAGAGGCAGGCTCCCGAAATCCTTTGCAGAAGGCGAAGCCATGGCCAGGTACTACAGCTCCTTTCCCATGGCTTCCTTCTCGTTGTTCATGGCGATTACCGGTGGCGACGATTGGTGGAACCTCGTCAGGCACACTCCTTGCCAGAAAGTTCCTGGGCCGATTGTCGCATACCCCGTTCTCGTACCACACCCTGATCGAACACATAGGTCCTGTCGTGGCACCGGTTCTTGTAAGTTGAATGGCACGAGATCTGTTTTTTGTCTTTTCGGAGTTGGTCAGGAAAATGTCAGACACCAGTCCCTAGTCTTTGAAGCCCCGTACCTCCCGAAACATGAATCCCGATCGTGCAAGGGGTGCCCAAACTTTGAACCCGCAGCACAAAGCTCGCTTTTGCCAGGCCTTTACTGGAGATCTCCGAGGTGTATGCTGTTCTTTTCGTCCTGTACATCTCGCTAATGGCACACCCGTCCTGATTCAGGGGTCCAGGGCTTAGCTGGTTTCGAGATGATTGAAGGGATCGTCAGTCCTTTCGTGCTGGTAGGGCGCAGGAACTGCCTCTACATTCAAGTGAAGGTCCCTTCCTTCCAGGCAGCCTCAAGATGCATATATTAAGGGACTTGCAGGTTGTCATAAAATACGTCGTTGCTTAAACGAAATGTTTGTACGCGCATGAATCCGTAAATGCCACGGTCTCCCCTCAGGAAGGGTTCCAGTTGCAGCCTGTGCTTCAAATGAGGTGCAGATTTCCACCTAATCTAAGAACTTGCGGCTTCGAAGCGCCTGAACCCGCCTAAACCCTATGCCAGCTCCCATTTCTAGGACCCTTCTCAGATCCTGACAGGTTCTGGGGGTCATGAACATCATCACGGGCATTTTCGTAGAGAGCTGGGCACCCAGATTACATTACACTCCGTTCTACTATACTGTACAATACTGTATCATGTTATCTTATGCTATAGCTGCTAAAAGCTATATTCTACTGCAGTACGCTGTGCCATAAATCATCGTGCACTGCATTCCGAGACGCTCAGCCGAGGGTGCTCGGAGTTGACGAAGCCGCGGGTTTGGGGTTCTTTCAGGGTTCCCTGAACTTCGATGCCCTCTGGTCGGTCCCCGTTTGGGGTTCAGATAAGGTAATATCCGGATGGGGAAGGTTGCGGGCTTTGGAAATCTAATTCGTATCTGCTGCGAAGTTTGTGATGCTCGGGCTCCTCTTATGCAAATTGACAGGCCCCGAAGCACTCAGAACATGAATCCCGCTCCTTTGACCGAAGTGTCGGATCCAAAATATGAGGCCGGACGAGAGCAAGGGACACCTTAACCTGGATCGCAGTCGCAGTAAGCCCCACTCTGTGTGTGTGTGTAGGGTCTATGGGTTTTGTGACTGGTTCGCGTGCAAGGCAGTCGAAGGGTCACTTGAAGCTGATCCTCGTGAGTGAAAACTTCGTTGCACGGTAGCGCGTGTCCTACGAGTGGTTGGTTTGAGCACTGCCCGAACTTGACGCCTAAGAACCTTGGGTGGCTGGCCCAGACTGCAGGTATGCATGAAGCAAGGAACTTGATCGGGCTTGTCTACGTAGGACAGCTTCGAGGCTAGACCTTCAAGACCTGAAGCCCCAACTCCAAGGCCCCAAACCCAACCTGCAACATGAAAAACAAGTTCATGATCCCAAAACATCCCCAAAAACATAAGATGCCCTGAGGTGCCACAGAGCTGTCGCGCTTAGACCGAGACCTGGTCACCCAGGTTGGAAAAGCCCCAAGATGCCCCAAGCATCCAAGTCTGAACATGAAGACGACTTGACGATAGGGTAAATATGCATTGTGCCATCAGGAGTCTCTATTCAGTCAAACATACGTTCAACTTATTCATTCTCCCTCGCATGCATACATAAGTACATGCGTGCAACTCTTCTGGGAACGTACGATTGCGTCTTGCGGCGTATGCCATGCACGGGTACAGACGACATACACATGTAAACAGCTCCATGTTTCATCATGTTCGTCGTCATTCTTACAGACATGGTTTTGGCGAACTGCGTCAAGAGTGTCAGAACCCTACCTGAATCTCTTTGCCTACTCTTCTCCCTAAGATCTATCATTCGGCATTATGGTTTGGCCTCGGCTCGGAAAGCTCCTCCATTAATATAGGGGCATAAATAATTACTAGTATACTGGGCCCCGAAACCCCAGTTTAATTATTAAGGCCCCTATATTATATGTTCCGGAAATAGGAAATAGAGGGGGGGGGTGTTGGAATGCACGCTCTTGATGGCATCAGCTGAAACATTTGTTTTGCAAGGTTCACTGGCTCGCGGTTTGCAGGCGAGGCCTAGAAAGCAATAGGATTTCACTGTGGCGTGATTTGGAGGCATCTTTTGGTGCGGGGTCGAACACGTGCCGACGTGATACTCCAAAGCCAGAGCGAAAGATAAGCAACACTTACTCCCAATACCCTGCACCCCCTCGGCCAAAGCAGTCCAGTCACGCGCCAGGCAGAGCAAGAGCGAATGGCTCTGTACATGAAGGCCAAATGCTACAAGGGAGCATGACCAAATGTTGGGTAAGGTTTATGGAACGGTAGGGTTGATAAGGGATGCAGATTATGGAATCAGTCAGAATGAGCATACCGTTCTATGTGTTTGTTTTCGAAAAGACCGTTTCGGAAATGGTTTCAGATCTGGGGCTTGTGCAGTTTTCATGTCAGGTTTCATGCAGGCTCCCTGGTGGACGGCTCTGTAAGGGGAAGACAAAGAGTTGCTGGCTTATCTGCAGAAGAGGGATCCTACTGGACACTGCGGATCCCTGATGATCGTACACTTGGAAGTGTAGAATGGTCGGAATGGGTAGGGCTAGGATGACCTGTTCAACTCGGTTGCCCGATGACACCGTTAAAAACCAGGTGTCAGGCAGAAGCGGCGTCGGATAAGCCCGAAAATGCGATAAATGCACGACACTTAAAATCACGCGAGTCTAGCATCTCTGCTCCTTTAAAGCTTTCGGCAAAGACTCCTCGTACCAAGTTTAGCTCCGATCCAGGAGCTGCGAAAGCTTTTCATGGAGCTGGATACAAACCGAGATGGGACCATCACGCTTCAGGACGCCCGCAAATTTTTGGCTGGCGTACCAATGGTATGCTCGGATGTAGCTCTTCTGGCTTGCGCGGTCAGTCCATGGTGGTCGCAGGTGGAGGGTCCACGAGTTCAATTTCAATCCTTGTGCTCACAGGAGTTCGAGAGCTTTGCAGCCCGAGCCGATGTACAGGCCGGAAGCTTCTGCAGGAGTTGTGTGACATCAAGGTTCCTACTCATATGTAGTCATGACTCATGTGGTGATGGAGCTATCCATCCCTGCCTGCGGCGACAGCTGTGACAAATATCTGTAATGTTGGTGTTGTAATTCACACTACCGCTACACGTGCGATTGTAGGCATATTTGTTGCGCACTGCCACACACGAGAAACATGTCAAGCCTGGTTCCAGCGCGAACTTGACGCTGTCGGGATGAAAGGGTGCTGCGCTCCAGGCCTATTTTTCCGTTCTGGAGCTGGACATCACGAAGGCACCGGCCTGTTTCGGGACAGCGCGTAAGGCGCAGCTCACCATTTGCGAGGCGTTGTGCCTTTGGGTTTCGATGAGCCTTGCAACACCCTGACTCGGCCAGCTTCGGGCGAGGCATTGCAAGACTAAGCCCTAAGCCCTAGACCCGAAACCCCAAACAGTAGAAGCTGCCTCAGACCAGCCAAGTTAGATTTTCGTCTGGCTTATACGGCCTGCTGGCGATGGCGTTGATGGCCTGCTTCGGGCTTCTTGTAGCCTGCATGGCCCCTGTGTCTCGGGCAGGAGGCAAAGGCTCCCAGCAAACTTTCCGACCTCGGTCCTGGCGGCTTGGAGACCTCGGAAAGTGGTGCCGAAGGGAGACAGCTCAGTGAAGGAACTCTTGAGTGGTTTTTCCAGAAGGGGACCAGCCAGGACGACCGTTTGTCGCCCGCGCAGGTGGACAGCTCCGGGGACATCGTGCTCGCAGGCTCTTCCACTGGAAGCTTCGAGGGCTACACCAATGCTGGGGATTGGGACTTCGTTGCCATGAAGCTGAACGGCGCAGGAACTTTGCAGTGGATCTTTCAGACCGGTACAGACGGAGCCGACCATGTAGAAGCCGCGAGGGTGGACAACTCGGGCAACATCGTTCTTGCTGGGCATTCTACTGGAAGATTCGAGGGCCACGCCAATGTAGGCGATTACGGCATGGTCGTCATGAAGCTCAGCAATTCAGGAACCTCTTGCAGTGGATATTCCAGACTGGGACCAATGCTACTGACAACCTACGTGCCGTCCAGAAAAAGAGTTCTGGCGACATCGTGGCCGCGGGCCATTCCACTGGAAGCTTCGAGGGCTTCACCAATGCTGGGCATTGGGACTTCGTTGTCATGAAGCTCAACAGCTCCGGAGCCTTACAGTGGATCTTGCAGACGGGGGTTGTAGGGTCGGACATCTCTGATGCTGTGCAGATAGAGAGCTCTGGTGACATCGTGGTCGCAGGCCATTCTATGGGAAGCTTCGCGGGCTACACCAATGCTGGGGATTGGGACTTCGTTGTCATGAAGCTCAACAGCTCAGGAGCCCTACAATGGCTTTCGCAGACTGGAACCAGTGGGACAGATTTTGTGCGTGATGCGCAGGTCGAAGGCTCTGGGGACATCGTGCTCGCTGGGCATTCCACCGGAAGCTTCGAGGGCTACACCAATGCTGGGGATTTCGACATGGTTGTCATGAAGCTCAACAGCTCAGGAGCTCTGCAATGGACTTTCCAGATTGGGACCAGTGCGACTGATAATCTGCGCGCTGTCCAGGTGGAGAGTTCCGGCAGCATTGTGGTCGCCGGCCATTCTGAACAAGCCCTCCACGGCCAGACCAGCATGGGTGATTACGACATGGTCATCATGGAGCTCAACAGTCAAGGAACCTTGCTATGGCTCTGCCAGACTGGGACCGGAACAGCGGATTATGCACATGCTGTGCAGGTGGACAGCTCTGGGGACATCGTGCTGGCCGGCCATTCCCTTGGAAGCTTCGAGGGCTACACGACAGCGGGCGGGTTTGACATGGTTGTCCTGAAGATTGGGAAGCCCACTACCACGACCACGAAGATCACAACAACTTCTTCGTCGACGACGGTCACTGGGACTTCCACAATTTTGGGAACCTCGCTCACTAGAACCTCCACAACTTCTGGAACCGTAGCGGCCACTGACACTTCTACAAATTCTGCAACCACCCCGGCAACCCGCACGGTATCCACGACAAAGACATCAACCAGTGAAGCGGCGACCATGTCGAGGACGACCAGCACGCAGACTACTGCAACTGCGACATCGTCAACATTTACATGGACCGGCGAGACGACCACAGAGACGTCGGCCAGCCTGACCTCAACTTGGACATCATCAAGCCAGTCGTTGACAACGACGCAGTCCTCGACGACATCCTCAGCGACGTCGGCCAGCCAAACCTCAACTTGGACATCATCAAGCCAGTCGTTGACAACGACGCAGTCCTCGACGACATCCTCGACGTCGGCCAGCCTGACCTCAACTTGGACATCATCAAGCCAGTCGTTGACAACCACACGGTCCTCGACGACATCCTCAGCGATTTCGAGTGCAAAGAACGCCTCCACAGGTTTGACCAGCACTTCCAGTTCCAGCTGGACTACACTGACATTCACTCCAGGAGGCCTTCAGGATGTTGGTGCAGCCGTGAGTGCGGCGGTGGAGTCTCTGGCAACGGCCCAGGCCGAATTCGCAGAGCTGTTTTTGGGAGGCGCCAGCGATGGACTCCAGCAAGGGGTCCAGGACGCGCATGGCCAATCGATTGTCGGCGTCGCCTTCGAGGTTACAGGGAGCGACGTGATGTTCGAGAATGACGATATTTCAGTCCACCTGGCTGCAGCATCCCTGCCACGCATGGGAAACCTGGTCGTAATCAGCACGGCAAGAGTACATGGTGGCGGCATGCTGGCGAAACTGATCCAGGCGTACAATGGGGCTGCAAGTGCCGTCCAGCTTGCGGAACCAGTGTCCCTTCACATTTCAGCAACCGGCCCGTCATCTATGAGTCTGCCTGTGCAGTTGACCATGCCCATCACGAAAGGCAGTGACGAGTTTGTCCCGAAGGCGTGCGTTGCGTGGGATGTGTCCACCGACGCTTGGACCACGGATGGTGTAGCCCTGAACGCTTCTGATGATTTCTCCGTGACCTGCTCCATTTGGCTATCATTTGGAGAAAATGCTTCTGGCCGCAGGCTGGATGCTCTTCAGCCCAGTCTCTTCAGCTACATCTCACCAAGCCTCAGCCCCAACGAAAGCTTTCCGTGGGCTGTCGTTCTGCCCATCGTGACCGCCGTTGTCATACCTGTGCTGGCCATGCTGATGTGGAAGTTCCGTAGGAAAAGAGCCAGGATTGAGCCGGCGTGCAACGTCGAGGAGGATGATTTTCCGCAAGAGCGCATCCAGCATGAACCCCGTCCCGATTCCATCGAGATGACACAAGTTGAATCTCTTCCGGACACTGGTTCTGCAGCGAAAGCAGTGGCTGTCGGTGCTGACTCGGAAGCTCCAGTCGACACAGACCTGATGATCCGCAGCCTGGTCAAGAAGGAGGAGGGGGTTGACTGCGACGAGGGCGACATCCAAGCAGCCACAGAAGCAGGTGCGATGAGTATCCAGGAACAGGACGCAGCCAAGCCTGTCAAGAAGGCTCGCTTGGCGATGGTTTCCGCTCGCTTCAATGCCAGGAACTGGGAAGTCGAGCAGAAGTTTCGTCGCGTGTGCCAAATCCTTCGTGCACGAGACCTGGAGGTCCTCATGGTCAACGCTGGCGGAGCACAGGATTTTGGTAAAATGACCATGCAGTACCTAAACCAGTTGAAGGTGAAGAAGGGTGTTATGCTGGCGGTGTGCACCAGCGACTACGCAGAGATGACGTCAAGTCCATATTCATCCCACGCTGAGCTCAAGTATGCCCTGGATAACGACATTGAGATCTTGCCCTTGAAGGTTGAAGCAACCTTTCCGCCCGAGCCCCCGTGGGGGGAGAACCATCCCAAAGACAAGAAAGGAATCGCTTGTGGTCTTGTCGACTTGGCCATACCTGGCTCAACGGTCTTTGTGGATTGTCTTGGTCAATCAGATGTCTGGATTGCAGATGAGATTGAAAAGGTGTTACGACGATCTTCTTCCGAATTTGCGAGAGGTCGCAGCGGCCATGGCACAAAGTCAGAGCTTGGGTCGACGACGCAATGACTCGCTGATCTCTACAGGGCCGTAGACGATGCGCTTAAAGGGGGTTGCGGTGAAGGAACTTGAGTTCAGTTCAGTTTACATGATATATCCCGCTGGATGATACACCAGTTGAACCCTTGGGCAAGTGCGTTTTGGCGCATCTGACAGTGGCCATGACGGCAACAGGTGCCATTGCGTTCCAGCAGTTGTCTTTCTCGAATTTGCTGGGGCCATAAGAAGGCATAGAAAGCAAGAGACTCGTCCTGTTTCACTAACAGTGACTGACAAGGAAGCACCTTGCTGCTTTGTTGCCCTATGGTGGCAGGTCAGGTCCGAATATATTTTACGTCCCCCGCTTCTGCCTGCCAAAGGCAGGCCAGACAGGAGCGTGCTGCGAATTGCCAGCACAACTCCGACTTGCTCAGGTGAGCTACAGTCTAAACTGACTAACGGGGGTTCTATGGGGGGGTTAGTTTTCAATTCGGTCTTCCATGACGGGGATACTAGGAGTCTCGGCTGTAGCTCACATGTTCACACCCTGGGGCTCCAAAAAGCCTAAAGTAGGTACTATTTACAGACTTTAGACTCCAAAGTAGGTTCTGATTCTATTTGTATACTTGGAGCCCTAGGGACAGGGCATGGACTGGTAGTGACCTTCCCGTTCCCGACTGGCTGGCCGGAACCACCAGCCAGGCCTTTTCTGCATGTAGCAAGTTGGGAGTCGGCTGCTTGGTGCTTTTCATGGCCTCCCTTATATTCATAATAATAGTAATAAGAATAATAAGAATAATAATAATAATAGTACTCTACCTTCTCAATTTCGCGACCATGTTAGGGAAACACCCATTGACTTTTGCAGGCAGCCGGCCCAAGTTGATGTCGGTGTTGTTTCGAAGTCGTCGCGACTTTGCCCAAGAAATCCCCGACGACCCCAAGGATCCAAGCATGGGAGCCCCATCAACATGTTCCCAGTACCACATTGGGAAAACTAGAGGGCTATTGTCAGGTTCCAGTTGTTGGATCCATTTGGGGGATTGGGTTGCAAAGCCGTCCGCCGAACAAACGAGAAGCCTCAGCAATGGATGTGCCTCGGGCACGCAGTACTCACACAATCCTGACCTTAGCTTGGAGCTTAGACCCTGAAACCTATCATGCTTTTCAACGCACGCTTCTCATGGCCAAAGGGACCGAACTCGTCCACATATGCCCGCTCCGGATGGAGCTTTTCCAGCTGAGACATGCTGGCAAAAGGCACGCTTGAAAAAGCCTACAACTTGTACCGTCTGGGCCTGGGCCACTGGGGGTTTCCGTGCTTTCGAGATGTAGACTAGGCGAGTGCCCCTAGGCACTTCATGGGTGAGAGACTGTGAGTCTGAGTGGGCTAGGGCAATGAAGCTCCTGCGGATTAGTCCTGTCTTTGGCTCTGAGCAGAGCCGCCGAGAGCTTCGAAACCTGCTCGCCTTCCTTGAAACGTTGTTCTCTGTTATGTCCAGTGTTTTCGGAGGCCGCTCAAGTCTTCCGTCTCCTCGACCTGGATGGGCAGCTGGGACTACAGAAGATGTGTCGAAGCCGCGGGGTAGATGAGGGGTGAAACGTTGCAGACCCACGTTTCCAGCAGCAGCGTGGGTGACAAGCCTTGCCAAGAAGCCGTCTAAGCATCCTTCTAAAATGCGCACCACCTGTGTGGAGATCAGGAAGGATGTTCGGGTTCCGGCTTTATGCTGCTTCTAGGGCTTCGGGTGGTTGCGAGTTTTGGGAGACGTCTGCCGGGCTGACGGTGGGACCTTCAGCCTTCAGCGATTGCCCTCGGGTCTAGAGTTCGGGGCTTGCCATGAAAACGCATGACCCAAAGTCCAAAGCAAAATGCAGGTACGGACTATCCGGTTAGCCATAATGAGGCAGCCGCAACAACAACAACAACACAACACGGAATGGCAAACCATGGTATTCTTAGCGAGGCGAACTCCCCTCAGACTTTTGCAGCAAAACCTTCGGGGCCACTGCATCAGTCCATTCCGAGGAGCTCCGAAGATCCGCAGCCGTCCCGATCCCTCGAGTTCGCAAGCTTCAATCCGTAAAACGCTCGAAATACAAAAACAAAGAAACCTCAAGCTCCAAGCCTAGGGCAAATAATGACGAGGCTTACCAACCCTGAAGCCCTATAGAATTGAGCCCTCCTCCTTGAAACCCTCATTTAAAGCCACATACATCCAGGAGCCACGAGCTGGAGCTTGACGAGTTCGTGATGGGCTGCATGCGCCGTGGCTGAGGTTTTGGGATCTTCGGGTGAGGATTTTCACGGCCTTACAAGCCCCTCTTGTTCAAAAGGGGTTTGCAAGAAGGATGTCCAAGGAGGGGCGGATCATGCAACAAAGGTCTTGAAGGGGTGCACCATCGGCTTAGGTGCCTTTGGGCTTTCTTGTCGCCTTTTGTGCGGATATCCTTTCTGTCTCCTCGAACAGATGCAGGTGCTCGCGCCCCGGATCCCAATCGTAAACCCCAACCTTGTGGCGGACCCTTCGCGAACCCTAGACCTCTGGCCGAGTCCGACTGTTGAGAGCTGTTTAGCAAACCTATAGACCCGAGCACTATCAGTTTGGGATTTTTAGGGGTGCGAGGGCTCAGCAAGGGGCGACACCAGGCGACTGAAAGGCATGGCCAAAGGGATCGACCTCGAGACCTTGATGTGGCTGGCCCAGGAACCTCTGCTGTTTTCTTGAGCTGTCCGGTATTCGTGGCCCATGCTTGATGCTCGAGTGTACTTAGCCCCTGCATCTTCATTGTTTAGACCTTAGACAACAGACTGCACGATCGAACACTGGGCCATCATTATTCCGGTCCGCAGCAGCAGCAGCTGCAGCGCTGCAGACTAGTGACTAGCAACGAAGCAGGTGCTGTCTTGCAGAAGTACGGCAGGCACTAGCACACCTCTGAGGTTTTAAAACCCTTTTTAAGGTTGGAGTGCCGCAAGCTGGCCAGCTTGTTCAGCAAGCATCGGAAGCTGACAAAGAGGCCGGGCACGGATAGGGGCGGGCTTTCGGATCATGACTCTCAATAGGACGTCGAGTTCGACGTGCTGAGCTTGAAACCTTTCAAGCAAACACACTGACCTACAGCTATAGCATGAGATGGCCGCATACCCAAATCGCCAAGATCGACATACCTTCGAGAACTGTCCGCACAACATGTGCGCACTGAGACCGAGAGCGGGAAAGTTACCGGCCGCAAGTATTCCTGATGAACGAACCCTCCCTCCCTATGCAGCAGACCAAAATAACATTGCAATGCGTCGCATACATGTTCTAACATGGAAAACGGACGAGAGTAGTGGAAGCACTGTCGAAGCCGCACTTTCCGCAATTATGTGCCAGAGTGGGCGTGCCCCGAAGTCTGGACGCTCCACGGGGAGGCTCCAATGATAGACATGCACAGGAAACATCACACAAGCCTCTCGATAAGCGAAGCTTCCTAAAGCTAGATTCAGCAAGCGCCGGCTTTAGCTACTACTACTACTCCTCCTCCTCCCTCCTCCTCCTCCTCCTCCTCCGCCTCCTGCTGCTGCTGCTGGCGCTGCTGCTGCTGCAAACCAGAGCCAAGCCTCCAACTGTACCGAAGCGAAGCAGGCAGTTCGCTCGCCTCGAAGAGATGATGGCGGCGGGGCAGCGTGAACACCGAGCGGCTGCGGCCTCGGATCTTCGCCCCCTTTCTAGTAAAATAAGACCAGGACTGGTGTTTAAGGCTCAGGGTCGAGAGTTCAGGATTTATGTAGGGGTTTATGGACCTTCTGTTTCAGATCCGCAAGGTCGAAACCACACCAGGGTATAAGGTAATGTAAGGCGGTGATGGATGATGTAACATTGACGAGAGTCCATCGGCATCCGGAATCGGAAACTGCAATTGGGGTATTTGGAGCACCATTCGACTTTTGTGACTCGACGGCTGATGTGCACAAGGACCCTGAAGGGGATAGCAGCGTAGAAGGTCACCGCTTGACCCCAGGGCCTACCTAAACAGGCAGAATCTCACGAATACACGACGTGTTTGCGGGTTGACAGAATGGTAATTCGCATTCGTACCGTTGCATGTAGCTCATCGGCACTAATGGGAACGAAGCAGATGCGAGTGAAGCCGTTGAGACAGCTCTGTAGCATCTGGTGTCTAGTACTGTAGCTGCCTTTTGTGCTCCTTTATGCCGCATTCGCCAATTTCTTGGTCGAGTTTTTGAAATGCTCTGGAGTCCTGTGAGTACTATTCTGCCCTGTAGGCTCATGGCTATGTTTCCGGAAGGCAGCAACTTAATGTTTCTTGGCTTAAGCCAGCGTGCACCTTGTAGACCCCAAACACTGAGACGGAAACCCTGAATTAGATATGGACTGGTAGTGGAACTGAGGCTTCACCAGGCTCCAGTGTTTCTGCCGTCGAGCTTGGCTAAGGGGGGCCCACAAAAAAAGGAGAACAGAGATATCCTGAACTCTAAGCTCCAGATACCCGGGGACCCTGAACCCTGGAAGGAAAGCCCCAAATCCATCTCAGGCAGTGCATGAACTGGCAGGCTTGGTCGCCAGCAAGGTGGATACTTCGGCCTTGTGAGCTGGCGATGTTTGATTTCCGTTGTGTTTTGGGCTTGGTTTTGACATGTTAGGGTTTTGGGATCGCGGTTTTAGTGTTTAGGACTTTAAAGTAGGTTTTGAGGTTTGGAGCCAGGGTTCTGGCCCGTCGGGCAACATGGTAGACTTGATTCACATGGTTTCGAAAGATGGTGGCATGAGCTGTGCACAAGTCTGCAGTTCAGTGAGGTGCAAAGCCGCCATTTCTGCGCGGTCCGTTTTCGGCTGCTTTAGAAAGTGTCTGTGCATCGGCCATAAATCATGGAAGATCGGATGAAGCAGTTGGACCTCAAACTTTCGCAGCGTTCGTCGGCCGGTTGCAGACACCTTTAGCATCTTCCCAAAGTGGAAACTGAATTCATCATACTCGCATGTCAAATCTCTGTTGGGCCTGCCAAAGGCACCCATGCACTTGTCTACTGCAAACGTCACTGCAGACGTGGCGGAGCGTAAAAAAGTACTGTAGCAGCAGCCAGAAGCAGCGGCTGTAGCTGTAGCCGACTGTAGCCGTTGCGGCTGGTGGTAGTTGATTAGTTGTGGTGGCAGTTGGAGGAGAACGTCGTCAGCGTTATAGCCTTCGTAATCCCAGCGGTCTTCCAAGCAGGAACGGTGCTGTAAGCATCGAAAATGCCAACAACGACAAAGTTAGCTGTGACGAGTAACTAGTGATCGTTGTCTGGTAAGGTACTGTTTCATATCGGTCGGTGCTTTCAGGCACCGGGAAGGTGCATACTTATCTGACGTAGACTCTGCCGTAGACCTAGACCTGTAGCACATAGGCATTCACCAGCTCTCAACAGATTGTTGAGATGGCAGCTTTTATTCGTTTGGTTGGTTACAACGGTTGGTTACTGGGGAATTGGGGGCTTTAGTGCAGGTCCGGACCCAGGTCACGGCTTCTGTAACGCGCAAACGGTCTTCTTTTGCGGACCTGTCAGTGGCACCGGCTCAGTGTATGGAGGCCTATGACCCATCCATTTCTGCACGCAGAGACAACGCATCTCTGGCATTCAGAAGACGCACAAGCATACTTGTTTTACAACTTCGCTTCGGAAAAAGAAAAGGAACCCTCGCGCGCGCATGGCGTCCTCGGACCCTCCTGCTCTTTGGGACCTGGGGGGTGGGCCCGAGCCCCACAAGTACGGGAGCTCGGCCGCACAGCGTGAGGCTCTGCCGAAAGAGGTGGACTCGCCCTTGCAACTGGCCGACGAAGTGGTGGAAGCATCTTCTGAAGATGCCAAAGGCCGAGAGGATGTGGGCTTGTGTTTACAAGCGGCTCAGGGAGTGCTGGATGCCCCTGCAGTGCATCCCGAGGCAAAAATCAGAGACGAGGTGGGCTCGGAATTGTTGGACGCCTCTGTGGTGTCTCTCCAAACCGAAGAGGACCCAGGCCTAGAGAATCACAAAGAGCATGGCACGGCAGGTCCCGAACCGGATCATGCGGTTTCTCATGGCACAAAGAGAGGAAGGGGAACAAAAAGAGGCAGGACCAAAAACAGAACCACAGTCGCAATGCCCACGCCAGCACCGGACGGTCCAATCACCGAGGCAGAGGAGGTTGTGGCCTTGGCCTCGTGTGCAGCCGGTCTGCCGGACCCAGTTCCGGATGTGTCGAATGTATCCCCGCAAAACTCTGATGACAAGGATTGCACTGAAAGGCTCCAGACCGGAGTCCGCAGGTTCTACAAGGATTGCACTGAAAGGCTCCAGACCGGAGTCCGCAGGTTCTGGCCACATGCTAGGGCTGCCGGCATGACACTCCTTTCCACATTTCTCTCCCTCACCTTCGTGGTTACAATTACGAACATCGATCCGGAAAGCTATCAGCCCTGCAACGACCAGTCTGCAGCAGGCTGCGTTTATCAGAAGATCTTTCCTGCTGGCAACATTACCTCAACACGTGGCTACTTTGCCAGTGTGCAGAATGGCCACGAGGACATCATTCGCATGGCAATTGCTGAGCCGTTCGCAGACACTCCCAGTTGGTGGATTTTCTTCGTGGACCTCCGAGCTACTACGGCATACACAACCGCGATTGGCACGGACGACTCCTATCAGCCACCTGCGCTATGCCCCAACATATCGGCTGATGCAATGCGACGGCTTTGCACTCATGTCGAGGTGAAGGAAGGAGTCCAGAATCACCTTCTTGGCAGTGGCCGGGATTGGTTCCTGGGGTTTGCGATGCTGTGGTGTGTGCTGAGAATTCTTCACGATTGGCTAGTCATCGAGAATCAGAGGCAGTCTGCAGCGTACACGGCCTTTCTGTCACTCCTCGCCCGAGGGTGTGCTGCGTCGACCGCTGCATACTGGGCCTTTGGCAGCACCTCCGTCTTTCTTTCCCCCATCGAGAATGAAGATTGCGCATGCTTTTACCAAATGCCGGCTGTACAGGCCTTGCTTACTCTAGTAACGCCCGTGCACATGCTGAAGGGCAGTTTCGAAGAACTCTTGGATTGGCTGCGTGGTGTCATATTCGGGGACTACCTACATTTCCAGCCCCACAGGATTCCACACCACGTTGAGCAGTCTTGTGGCTCTTGGATGTCCGGCCACCTGATGGTATGGAGGAGGGATGCTATCGAGCCTCAGGCCCGCATGCGTCCGCAGGTGTACTCGTGCCTATCACTAGCCTTTATTGTGCTCGTCGTCTTGTGGGAGCTCGCAAGTTTCCTCTTGATCGCACCGCTTGCACCAGCCACTCTTGTCAGAGCAGAGGAGGTCGTTCAGAAGTTCTTGAGCTCGTACTCTTCTGGTTGGACGCATATGTTCTACACTATGCTGGACTGGATGATTTATTCCACAGCCTGGAGCTCCCTGCTGCCAGCAGCCTTGTTCGCGTATCTGATTTGGGATCTGCCCGGCTTGAAGAAAAGCGCCATTAGCGCAACCTTTGGATGCGCCTGCGCAACCTTTGGATGCGCCTGTCTTTGCATCTTCGTTATGTCTCTGGGTTCCCCTTCAAAGAGCCTTTCACAACGTGAAGCCACTGTGTTGCGTGCTGAGCTGCGAGCAGTTGGGCAGTATGTGGGAGCGGCATTCCTGTCACTCTTTACGGTCGTCGGTGCATCTCTTGACAGCGTCAGAACCATTCTGGTGCTTGGTGGGATGGGCAGCATGACAAGTCCCGGTGCCTATCTCAAGTTTTGTCACAAGCACCCTTTGCTGCTCCAAGTTTATCCCGACATGAAGGAGCTGAAGAAGGTTGCCAGGAAGCGCCTGGCTGCAAGAAGCCTGCACGGATTGCCAGACATGCATAGAATAAGGTTGAACGATTGAGAAGCAGCTTTGTAGTGAGTCACCATGTCTTTGCCACTATCTCGCCGCCATGACCATGACCAACCTCATCATCATCATCAGCAGCACAACCGTGCAGGTTCAGGGATTGCATAGGCAACCAGCTAGTCTCCCGGAGAGCAAATGGCAATGGATCAACAAATTGAACGCGGTACAGAATCTTGCCAGCAGTCAACACCTCCGCAACCAAAGAAGAACTGAAGACACGAACGAGAATGCTAGATGGACGAAGAAGAGGCGGAGATAATCCAACCAACAAGTCATTCCACACAAAGCGAACACACGACAGCAGAAAATCTTGCAAAGACAGGAGCATTCACGAGTGAAGCACGGCCATTTCCTATATAGATATAGCAGGGACGCATGATTCATATTCCAATCCCGTTGTTGCTTTCTAATTTATTAACAGAAAGCGTCGCCACCCTTCGCAATTAATCTAGGTGGTGAGTGTAGTTTTCGATTGGAGAGGTAACTTTTGAGCTTTATGTGCGAATACTGCCTAAACTTGCTTTTGTCGTGACAGATGAAGTGGGTTAGAAAAAACGCATAAAATTGCATGCATGCATACATACATAGACAGCTGCCTGCATATACTCCCGCATGCATGTACACCTCCATGCAGACATATACACACACGCAAATACATACGTACAAACATACATACACCATCATGCCTCCCCGTATGTATACATATGTATATGTATATATATATATATGTATATATATATACCCTAGACCTCCAAACCACGGG